GGCGGGGGGGGGGGGGTGCCCCCGCCCGTGCCCACCCGTGGGCTTCCAGGGCTCGGAGGTGGACCCCCCCCCCCCGCTTGGGTCGTCGTCGAAACCGACGTTTCAGGCTCCCCTTCCGCCGGGGTCCATCCTCCTCCTCCTCCTCCTCCTCCTCCTCCTCCACCTCCACCTCCGGCGCCAGAAGACTCGCCCGCGCCAGTGCCCCCCTCCTCTCCGCTACAATCTGCCGATGCCCCTACCGCGTCGGGAGCAGCGGCCCCGAAGGGAGGACGTTCCTTGACGGCGACGGAGCGCTTTGCTGCACCGACCTCGGGGACGCCCCTCCCGTTCTCGGAGGAACGCCCGCGAGACAACAACGCCTCGTCCAGGGCGGGGAAGCCGCCCTGCAGCACGCACACGCGGGCTGTCAGGCACGAGCGAGACGCCTCGCGCGCGAGCCGGAACTCGGGGGCTGCCGCCTCAGCCGCAGCTGTCGCGAAGGAGGCAGAGCGGCCTCCGCTGTCGCCGCCGCTGCCCCCACGCCCACCGCAACCAATGAAGCACACGTGAGTAGTAGAAGTCCCGACAGGGTGTTTCACCTCGCCGATCCCGATGCCTCCCCCGCTCACGGCATGGCCGCCAATGCGCGTCGAATGGACCAGCTCGTTCTCCGCGGCACCGCCGCCAACACTCCCGTAGGGAGCGGCGACGACGCTGCTACTGCCGAAGACGACGGACATTCCTACGACGTCGTGGACAGGAGCCGCCCCTTCAACCGCCTCCTTGTGGCAAGGAGCGCCGCTTCTCTCACCGTGTAGCGCGTCTCCTCCAGCCCCTACCTCCCGGAGGACCTCAGCGACCGCGGCCGCCTCCCTGCCGAAGCTCTCCGCCGGGCGTATACGGCGCCACATTACGCGACCGTCGCCCGCGGCCTCCCCGCCAGCGCGCATGCCGCCGCCTGCGGGGCCTTCACCCCCCGGCGCCGGGGGCCGACAGTCGACAAGGACAAACCTTCCGCCGATTCTACCCGACCCCGAACGCCAGCCATCGTCCCCGGTTGCCGGCGACGTGGGAGCGGCGGCGGCGGTGGTGGTGGTGGTGCCGGGGGCGGCTGTTGACGACGGGCCTGCGAGAAGGATCTCGGCTACTTGGTCAGCGTCCACGGAGAGAACCCCCTCCGCCCTCAACCCTTGCAGCAGAGAAACCCTCGGCTCCGCCGCCGGTCCCCCGGCGGGGGGTCCTGATTGCTGCTCCCCTCCGGCGGGCGCCCCCCGTCCCTCGCACGAACCACCGCCATCGCCCTCCTGGTCTTCGGCAAAGCACGCCCTCCTCAGCACGTCGCAGAACAGGCGCGGCGTTGACTCCCTCAGCGCCACGGCGGCGCGGAAGACGTCGTCCACAACCCCGGCGGACCGCAGCCGCAGCCCGGAGACCGTCGCCGGCATGTCGTCAGGCGGGGTCTCCATGAGGACGAGGCGGTTGCTCACGAGCCACGCCAGCGACAAGAACTGGTGCAGCACGGGGTCGCCGTACTCCAGCATGAGTCGCCAGAGGTGGAGGAGGGCGGGGGCTGGCGTCTGGCTCGCGAAAAGGGTGACAAACCTATCGGAGTTACGGTTCCGCGACGCGACAAATTAAGAAAGGGGGCGATGCAGTCGTCGTCTAAGGCGAGGCGGAAGCGTGTCTGAGCTCAAGGGGGGCAGCTTGAGAGAGACAACCGACCGTGATCCCTACCACGTAACATTGCCCCGGCCTCCGTTGCCTCCAATGAAAAAGCGTCCAAGTAATTAACTTCACGTACAGCCTTGCCGTGCCTAACAACAGCTTTCGCGACCGAAACTATCAAGCCATCGTCTACGGTGCTATCACGGGGAGCCACACCCCGGGTTTGCGCCCAACATGACAAACAAAAATCCCCTCTGCTGGCCGAACACAGAAATCCACCTCGTGCAAAAATTGAGATTTGTTAAGCGGTGACCCGAGCTCTGCTCGTAGACCCCTGTAAGCACAAAAAAACAGAAGAAAATCATCAACTAAAACAAACATTCTTAAGTACACGGCGCAAACACAGTTTTCTACGATACTACGTCAAATTTGTTCCAAAACTATTTTGCTAGTTATCCTTGAGCAATAAAATGTTGGAATAACACCCCACCATGGGGTCGCGTAGGCGGCGGGCGACACAAAACACTTGTCCATGTGCGCCGCGAGAGCGGGGTCGTGGAACCGCAGGAGCTGCTCCAGCAGCACCAGGTGTGCCTCGAGGACCACAAGTGTGGTCCCGCCGCCGGCCTCTTCTTGGGCTGTCGAAAAAATGTTCGGCGCAAACCGGTCGACGAAAGAGCGGAAGCACCTGCTCCGGGGGGGGGGGGGGGGGCCCCAAAAACAAACGGGGGGGGGAGGGGGGGGGGGGGGGGGGCCCCAAAAAAAAGGGGAGTTGCCGGGGGGGGGGGGCCCCCCCAAAAGGGATTTTTTTTCCCGGACTGAACCCGGGGGGAAAAAAAACCCGGGGGGGATTTTTTCACAGCTGTTGGAAAATTTCCGGGTGGGGGTCCCAACCCTTTTTAAAAGGCAAAAAAAGGGCTTTGTGGGCCCTCTTTTCAGTTCCCCTATCAAAGGGGGAAAAAACCGGCCGGGGGAAACACCTAAAAATGGGGGGGGGGGCCAAAAAAGGAAAACCCCGTTTTCCCATCCCGGACCCCCCCCCCCTTGCCCCCCTGAGGGGCGGCCAAACCAGCCCCTTCAAAAAAAGGCACAACGGGAAAAAAACGGGGGGTAAATCCAT